ACTCCATCTCAAAAATAAATAAATAAAAAATAAAAACTCTTCCGCAAGATTTTAAGAGCATTCTAAAATTATGATACAGAAAAGCAATCCTAAAACTACTCTGGCCAAAATGTGGATTCGAATGACCTGTTTTGAGCCCACAGTTGCCAGGAGCTGGACCTGCGGTAGTGTGGGAGCTCACAGCCTCAATAGCGACTGCCCTCTGACCCCACCATCCAGTGATTCTAGAACATTTCTGGTAGGAAAGACATAGCAAGGGATTTTCATGATCGGGAAATACTGAGAGACAAACTGAAGATCTGTTAAGGGCTATGCTTTTGTCATCGTTTAGGTATTTAAGGCTACTCCTTTAGCCAGCATACTTTCAGCTGTTTAGAGTGACAATTTCCCTACACAAAGGTACCAAATTAGCATCTCTGAAAGAGAATAATATTACCCTGGATTTCCAAAGATGCACTCTAATAGGATGACCAGGCAAAAAGTGACCCGGGGGAGGAGTCTGTTCTAACACCCGGACCAACGTGTTCTCAAGGCACTTCAGAACTTCGGGGAATTACTTCATACTGGATCCTCAGAAAGTACTGACGGAAATACACATCCTTTAGCAGAAGAAAGACGCTTCATGCAGGATTGACTTTAATGGCTCTTTCAGGCAACAGAGAAACCACCACATGCTCGTAACACGAGCTCAGTTGTTCAGCAGGCACCCAGAGGAAGCCTTTGATTCCCAGCAGGTTTCACTAATGAGTCCTGGAGCAGGTGTGGTTTTGATATTTACCATGGGAGTGGTTAACAGCTGACTGCCTAGGAAAACCTAGGAAGGCCTGGTCCCTCTGGGTTACCGACAGCATCCACCCTCACGCTGTAACACAGCACTGGGGAGGTGTGACAAGGTTGTCCATTTTACAGCCTTGGACCACAGAAGAGAACCATTACATGCTACATTCAGACTTTTTGGCTTAGTTTTAGTATAACCTGACACTGGAAACCCATCTCCGGTCTTCATCCTCCAACTACAGGTATGGGGGTTTCCTTTTCTTTTTTTTTAAAGGCCCATTAACTTCATTTAAAGGTTCCCATCCTTATGAATTACTCACTAAGGAAAACTATAAGCTCAGATTTCAGAAAAAGCAATTTACAAGATATTATTGCTGGTCCTTTACCCCTTCTCTTTAATGCAATCTCAAAGGTTTTTTGGCTATTAGTTTTCACAATTTTCTTATGCTGCACACAAAAACAAGATTCCTCTCTCTATAATGTAGAGTATGGGGAAAACACAGATGCTGTTTTTCCAACTAAAAATGTTTACAAAGAACAGATTGTCTCAACAAACAAAAAAACCCCACCCCATTAAGCTGGGTAGGACCAATAAGTGAAAAAAATGTCTTCTATTGAGCATAATAAAACAGAACATGTACTTCTTGTGTTTGAACCTTACTCCTATTTAACCAAAAATTTCCCCTTTCTCATAATTTTCCTAGTATTATGTAAGGTTATGCCTAGTTCTAGATTCTGAAATACCTGCATTTTAATGCTTGCACAACCCATTTTAAATTTACAAAAGCTGCCTCTATTTCATTTTCTGATTGAAAACACACAAAAAAAGAACAAACCAAACAAACCACACCACATCATAGAGAGAATGATCCGAATGGAAAAGTTAATGTGCTGTAATGATATTTGTCTTGCAACATCACAAGCAGCAGATACTGAATAGAATTTGCTTCAATCATAAATACTGAGACTGAAATATGCACGTATAAATCAATGAACTGAAAGCTCTCTATACATAGAAGCACATATGAAGTGCAAAACAATATCAAAAGTGAGATCTCTGGTATTTTAGTACTCCCATTCATCGGATTTCAGGTCGAGATAGCTGAGAATATTCTGGGCAAGCTTCACAGCCTGTTTCCTGGCAGCCTTACACTTCTCTTCTCCCTGCGGATCAACAGCATCCAGGGCTAGCAGCTGCTTGGTGAGCAGCTCTTCCAGCCGGATGTAGTTCTTATCGGTTCGATTTCCATCAAATGAAAGAACTTCTCCCTGGATCTCGGACAAGTTTCCAAGGACGTTCCAGACGGCTTTATGGGATGGGTGCTCCTCACAAGCAAACAGCTTTCTTTTCTCAAGGGCCTCCTTCAAGTCAATATACGTGATCAGAGTTTGCACCTCGATCACTGCTCTTCTCCTGGCTTCCCGGATGCAGGGGTTTTTTTCAAGACTTACCTCATCCAACTGTCCAATTAAACCCTGCAATTCTGTTTTGGAGCTCAGGTACAATTCAGGAGGGTTTTGTGCTTGGAGAAGTTCATTTTTTATTTCTCTCATTCTCGTGAGGACCTTTTCTATTTTTAAAATGGAATGATTCTGTCTCAGGTCAAATGCTTTAGTCGTGTCTGCTTCCTCTTCCAAATCCAGATACTTCAATAATTTGTTGATATCTTCTACTACCTCCCTCCGATAATTTCTGATTTCTGTCCGGCCGCACACATCTAGAGCATCTAGGTCAGCGATCAGCCCTGAGAGCACACAGGATAAGTGCCTGCAGGTCTCACTGTTGTTCACGCCCATCAGAAGTGCAATCAGGACCCCTCGGGCCTTGTTCACCTCACACATCACAAAGTTGATTTTGGCAACGGAAGGATGCGCATCCTCGGAAAGCGGCAGGGAAGGCTGCTTTTTCATGCAGTCTTCGATAATCTCTTGCACCGCACAGATTTTGGTTAAAGTGTGATACCTTGCTTTCCGCAAGGAGATTTTTCCTCCAGTTTTAACATGTGTCAGCCTCAGAATGATATCCTGGATGCCTTCTTCAAACTCATCAGTTACGCAGTTGCCTCCATTATAAAATGGCACAATTTTCTCTCTAACGAGGGACTGGGCTTCCTCAAAAATGTTCTGTATTTCAATCCGGTGTGGGTGGTTTGCATTCTGCTCCAACTCTTTGAGAAGACGTTCTGTCTCCTGTGCTGCCCTCTTCCTAGCTTGCTGAATATCTCCTTTTCCTTCAGTATCTACAGAGTCTATTTCAAAAAGTTGTTTTGTTAGAATCCTCTCCAGTTTCTTGTAATTCTTGTCATCTGACAGACCACTGAAGCCGACAACTTGCTGTTCTACACTTTTTACTTCCTTTTGGATTTCCTGAAGCCTACTAATAGAAGGATGTTGGTTTCCCATATCCATACTTTTGTTGTGTTCAGTTTCACAAGCACTAAAAGATGACAAGAATAACTTATTACAGCACAAGGCTTCTGCAGAACACTAATGGTATACTAAGTCATTCTAAAATTCTCATTTTAAAAAGGTATACTTTCGCGCAGTCATCCCACCTCAGCCTCCCCAGTAGCTGGGACTACAGGCGTACACCACCACGCCCAGCTCATGTTATTATTTTTAGTAGAGACAGGTCTCACTATACTGCCCAGGCTAGTCTCAGACGATCCGCCCGCCCCCGCCTCTCAAAGTGCTGGGATTAAGGTGAGTCACCCGTACGCCGCACAAACTATTTGGAACCAGCAGGGCACCTTTATGCAAGGTGAAACAGTAGCTCATGTAACCTTCCGAACACTAATAGTACCCCGCCCCGCCACACAGCTATGCCTAGTTTCCAGAAACTCTAAGCAAAATAAACTGAACCAGTAGAACAAAAACCAGTGGCTCTCAGATATCCCCAAGTTCCCGCTTCTTCGTTTCTCTCCATCCCTTTGTGCACTTCCCCTCCCCACCCTTTTAGCTCCTCACACATTTTCCCTCCCAGATGTCTCCCTGAAGAGATAAAAACCCCACAGGTAAAGAAGAGCGATGGGGATTGCGCTGAAGGGCACCACCTTGGGCTTTCGAGGCCCAGCACCTCCTCAGCTCCCAACATGCTCCAATCTCTCAAAAAATTATAACCTACGAAAACGTGATAACTATGAATAATTCATTCACTCGCCTCCCACTGAGAGTCCACAATCGCCTAATGCACGTTTCAAGCTCTTGGTTTCTATCAAACGGCTTGTTCAAGGTGGGTAACCAATGGAAACGCATCATCCATCCCCTGTGGGTGTTCTGGAGGCCACGGAGGGCAGGCGGCCCGAGTTCCTTCCTCCCAGCCTCGCCCTTCCCTCTTGGCTCTTTACCCAGAAGAGGTCTGAGCTGGCTGCGATCTTGGCGTCCCGTGGCTGAGGTGGCGAGGTGGAAGATCAGCCCTTTACGGGGTGCGGCACCGGAGCTGGGCCCCCAGCTGCATCCCTCGCGCCCCTCCCGACTAGGTCTGAGCGGGGCAGCCGGTGAAGGGGCCGGCGGTGAAGGGGCCGCTACTGGCTGCAGCAGCCGCTCCGGGCGTCTCGGCCTAGGTGCCAGGGCGCGCCCGCAAGCCCTGACCTCACAATGGGCGCGCGAGGGGCCCTCGGCCCGGCCGGGGGAAGCCGGGGAAGGAGGGGAGCCAAGGCCCCGCCGGAGACACCAGAGACCAGGCCCGATCACCCCTGGACAGCATCCGAGACAGGGACGGGGACAGCGCCGAGACCAACTCAGCTCGGCCTGTGCCGACAGGCCGCGCTGGGGTGGGCGCTGGCGGAGAGGTGGCCCAGCGGGGAGCCCCGCGCGGAAGGGGGGCCCCACTCGTCCCCCCGATGGAGGGAAAAGGCCACACGCCGCGCTTCGCTCACCTGTCCCGCCCGCGCCATCGCGCGATGCATCGCTGACGCTTCCACGACTTCCGCAGCTCCGGCCGTCGCCCGGGCCAGCCAGCCCACGCCCCTGGCCGAACACCCCTAAACCCGGGGACGCCTCCTCCGGCGTCCGCGCCTAGCCGCCGACAGCATCAAGCCCACCGCCAGCGGCGCAGCAAGGCAACCTGGAGTGACAGCGACCAAGGAGCGGCCGCCCGGGTCAGCCCGCGCCGCCCGCCGCTCCCGTAGCCCGTCGTACCGCGGGGAAAGCGCACGGTCGGCCGCACAGCCCTCCCTCGGGCTTCGCGACCCTGCCGTAAAGCGGCCTCTCGCGCCGTCGCAATGCTGCCGTGCGCCGCGGGAGCCAGGGGGCGTGGGGCCATGGTGGCCTTGCGGGCGGGGAAGAAGAGTCTTCTCCGCGCTCTCAGCCGCTCCTTCGCCTGCCGCGGCTGTCAATTCGCTCCGGAGCGCGGCGCCGAGCGCAGGGATACGGCGCCCAGCGGCGTAAGCAAGCGCCTGGGGATATTGGGCCGGGAGGGGTGACCGGAAGGAAAGACAAACCGGGGCCTCGGGGCAGCTGCCTGCCATGCACAGCCGCCTCAGGCCTTTCTGCAGGTGCGCTCACGTCCTATCCCGAACAGTCCCGCAGCCCCAAGGCTTCCGCGTCAGGGCTCTCGGTCGGTTGGAACTGAGGGAGCCGCCGCCACGCCGGAGACTGTTGACAGCCAGAACCTTTAAGCATAAGAGTCACCTGGCAAGTTTGTAGCTACCTTATTTGTTCCCGAGAATGATTATTTTTTATATTTAAAGAGCTCTTGGCTTAGCGTGCATTTTTTTTTCGTGGTTTTTTTTTTTTTTGTGTGTATGTGTTTTGGCTTTGTTAAAATTATTAGAGCTTTTCTTCAAGCGGTGAACACTTTATACTTTATCATCGTACTTTTGTAGCACTTCACGTTCAATAGTTGTTCTTATTTGCAAACTATGTGTGAGTATATGCATGTTACTGGCCAAAGATCCGCAAAGAATGTCTGTGGCAAGAAAGAGTGGCAAGCAATTTTTATAAGTCATACTTTTGGGAGGGATGTTTTGTTTAAGGGAGGCGTAGGCCTTGATTCCATCTGTCAGATGAAAATGTTGGCTAACGGTGTGGAATGGGCTGGAGATAAAATATTCAAGCAAAGCATGCAAATACCAAACAGGCTAATGAAGGAGGCTGGAAAACTTGGTTTAAACAATAATTAAAGAAGTGTAAAAAAGAGCTAATTAAAAATTGTTCGGGCTCCCTGGCTCACACTTGTAATCCTAGCACTTTGGGAGGCCGAGGCGAGCAGATCACGAAATCAAGAGGTGAGACCATCCTGCCCAACATGGTGAAACCCCGTCTCTGCTAAAAATACAGAAATTAGCTGGGCGTAGTGGCGCGCGCCTCTGTAGACCCAGCTAGCTACTCGGGAGGATGAGGCAGGAAAATCGCTTGAACCCGGGAGGCGGAGGTTGCAGTGAGTGGAGATCGCACCGCTGCACTCCAGCCTGGCGACAGAGAGAGACTTCATCTCAAAAAAAAAAAAAAAAAAAAAAAAAAAGCTAATTAAAAATTGCAAATGTACTTACTTGTACATTTTCATTTCTGTTGGGCTGTGGCTGTTAGCACACTTTTTTAATTGTAGCTTTGAAGGTCTGTTTAGTTTGCAATTTAAAGAAGAAGTTACCAGGGCAACTTGTCAACCAGACACCCAAGTGGCTGACTCAGTTCTGTGTTACAGTGGCCAAGCCCTTGCCTTCTATTCCTAGAACATAGAAACCCAGCCAGCATCTCCGTCTTTGGGCAGAGAGATACAGCAGGTGTCTGAAAATGCTCTAAGAGAGCCAACTGGAAATCAACCCAGACATTTCCCAGGGGGAGGATTTTCCCTAGCTTATTTTGTGAACTTGTGCTGGAAAGAAACAACAGCACCCAAATAAGGATTTCTCCATTCTCATATAGACTTCTTTTTTTTTTTTTTTTTTTTTTTTTTGAGGCGGAGTCTCCCCCTGTTGCCCAGGCAGGAGTACAGTGGCATGATCTCAGCTCACTGCAACCTCTGCCTCCTGGGCTCAAAGGATTCTTGTGCCTCAACCTTCCGAGTAGCTGGGATTACAGGTGCCCACCGCCATGCCCGGCTAATTTTTTTTTGTATTTTTAGTAGAGACAGGGTTTTACCTGTTGGCCAGGCTGGTTTCGAACTCCTGACCTCAAGTGATCCGCCTGCCTGGGCCTCCCAAAGTGCTAGGATTACAAGTGTGAGCCACCATTCTCGGCCTTAGACTTCTTGTTAAAGTAAAATAAGTCTTACCATGGGTCTGTTCTCAAGATGAGAGATCTCTCTGCCTTCTTTGTTTTTTCTTTTTTCGAGATGGAGTTTTTGCTCTGTTGCCCAGACAGGAGTGCAATGGCACAGTCTCGGCTCACTGCAACCTTCACCTACTGGGTTCAAGCAGTTCTCCTGCCGCAGCCTCCCGAGTAGCTGGGATCACAGGCGCATGCTGCCACGCCTGGTTAATTTTTTTTTTCTTTTTTTAGTAGAGATGGGGTTTCACTATGTTGGCCAGGCTGGTCTCGAACTCCTGACTTCAGGTGATCCACCCGCCGCGGCCTCCCAAAGTGCTGAGATTACAAGTGTGAGCCAGCGTGCCCAGCCAGCACCAGCTTTTAATTGAAAAACATTATAGAACATAAGAGTCAGGCACCATTCTTCCTTCCAAATCCATCTTTAAAACTCAGCTTTTCAGAAATATAACTGCTTTTGGTAAAGAAAAAAAAATTAGACTTTTAAATTCTGTTCCCTAGCCACTTCATGCCTGCTTATGTCTTACCTATGTAGTTTGCATCACTGGTTCCTAAACTTGTTTGCACATAAGAATTAGTCTGACTCTTTTAGTTCTTTTTTTTTCTTTAATCTGGAAGTTCCCAAACCAGAATTGGTTCAGACATACTCCCTTTTAGTTCTTTTTTAATCCATAGGTTCTGCCTCCATCACCTCTCCACCTTTTGTTTTTTTTTTTGAGATGGAGTCTCACTCTGTCACCCAGGCTGGAATGCAGTGGCATGATCTCAGCTCACTGCAACCTCCACCTCCTGGGTTCAAGCTATTCTCCTGCCTCAGCCTCCCGAGTAGCACCTCCTCACCTTTTTTTTTTTTTTTTTTTTTTTTAAAGCAATTTATTTGGAGAGGGGATCACATGTCCTTTAAAACTTCCTACAGTCTAGATTTTGCTGATTGTGTCTCCATGGTGTAATTTAGCATGTTCCTCTGACCTCTTTCTTGTAAATTGACAGCTATATTCTAGAACTTTGACCACATCCAGATTTTTTTTTTTGTTTTTTGAGACAAAGTCTCACTCTGTCACCCAGGCTGGAGTGCAGTGGTGTGATCTCAGCTCACTGCAGCCTCCACCTCCCAGGTCCAAGCAGTTCTGCCTCAGCCTCCTGAGTAGCTGAGATTACACAGGCCTACCACCACGCCCGGCTAATTTTTATATTTTTTGTAAAGACAGAGTTTCATCATGTTGGCCAGGCTGGTCTTGAACTCCTGACCTCAGGTGATCTGCTCATCTCAGCCTCCCAAAGTGCTGGGATTACAGGTATGAGCCACTGTGCCTGGCCCAAAGTCACTTTTAGCTTCAAAAATGAGCTGTAGGGTATACCTTCTTTTTCTGTTTCTGTGGATTGTTTACTAAGGTTTGAAGTTTTCTGTGACTGGTAGAACCTACAAGTCTTGTGAACCAGAGTTTTCATAAGAACAGGTCATTTTAACCCCATCCTCTTTTTGGTTAGAGTTACTAAACTGGTAATTAAGAGTGTTCCGGCCAGGCATCGTGGCTCACACCTTGCCAGCACTTTGGGAGGCTGAGGCAGGCAGATCACCTGAGGTCAGGAGTTCAAGACCAGCCTGGCCAACATGGTGAAATCCTGTCTCTACAAAAATACAAAAATTAGCCGGGCATGATGGCGGTACCTGTAATCCCAGCTACTTGGGAGGCTGAGGCAGGAGAGTCGCTTGAACACAGGAGGCGGAGGTTGCAGTGAGCTGAGATCGCGCCATTGCACTCTAGCCTGCGCGATGGACCAAGACTCCTTCTCAAAAAGAAAAAAAAAAAAAGAGTGATCCATTGCATATTGATTTAAGCAAGACATCTGATAAAGTCTCTTGCGTAGTTTTGAAAACCATGTCCTGTGTTATGGTGCTTGAAACACCAATGGAAACATTCGTCTCCGGGTGGTTCGTATTTCCTGCCCAGGTTCTTCATGAGGTGCCAGTGATACAGAAATGAGTGTGTGTGCCTCTTTTCACACATGCACAGATGGCTCTCCAGGCAGGAGCTCTGCATGCTAACACATGCCTCCCTGGTGCCTAGAGCGGTGCTTGCCCTTTGCATGGTGGCGCAGGCACAGACAGGTTGATGCTTATGGAGAAAGGCTGAATCCGCTATGCCCATTTTGGGAATCTGTTGGAAGTTAATTGTTTGCAGCTCCAGGCAGGGTGGTGCCCAGGGGAGCACCACCCTGGGCCTGCCTGTCAGGCACATAACTTCTGAGAGGAGAAGGGCTGGAACAAGCCCACAGATAATGATCTTTTTCCCTTTTTTGGAGATGGGGTCTTGCTCTGTTGCCCAGGCTGGAGTGGGCAGTGGCACAAACACAGCTTACCACAGCCTCAACCTCACTGGCTCAAGTAATCTTCCTGCCTCAGCCTCTTTAGTACCCGGGGCTACAGGCACGTGCCACCACGCTTGGCTGATTTTTAAAAATTTTTTGGCAGGGCACGGTGGCTCATGCCTGTAATCTCAGCACTTTGGGAGGCCAAGGAGGGTGGATCATCTGAGGTCAGGAATTCAAGACCAGCCTGGCCAACATGGTGAAACCCCATCTCTACTAAAAATATAAAAATTAGCTGGGTGTGGTGGCACATGCCTGTAATCCCAGCTACTCGGGAGGCTGAGGCAGGAGAATCGCTTGAACCCGAGAGGCAGAGGCTGCAGTGAGCCGAGAACGCACCACTGCACTCCAGCCTGGCCAACAGTGCGAGACTCCGTCTCAAAAAAAAGAAAAAAAAAAAAATTTGTAGCTTTGCACAGCAGCAGTGTTGTAGCCAATGAGATTTATCCGAAGTGTGATTATTGCTAATTGAAAACTTTTCCCGGCCGGGCGCGGTGGCTCACGCCTGTAATCCCAGCACTTTGGGAGGCCGAGGCGGGTGGATCACAAGGTCAGGAGATCGAGACCATGGTGAAACCCCATCTCTACTAAAAAATAGAAAAAAATTAGCCGGGCGCAGTGGCGGGCGCCTGTAGTCCCAGCTACTGGGGAGGCTGAGGTAGGAGAATGGCGTGAACCCGGGAGGCGGAGCTTGCAGTGAGCCGAGATTGCGCCACTGCACTCCAGCCTGGGCGACAGAGCGAGACTCCGTCTCAAAAAAAAAAAAAAAAAAAAAAAAAAAAAAGAAAACTTTTCCCAATACCCTGCCATGATGACTTGCAATATAGTCGGCATTGGCAATGTTTGACAGTCTCTGTACAGAGACCGAAAAAAAAATTTTTTTTTTATAGAGATGGGGTCTCACTTTGTTGCCCCGGCTGGCCTCGAACTCCTGAGCTCAAACAATCCACCTGCCTCGGCTTCCCAAGGTGCTGGGATTACAAGTGTAAACCACCAAGCCCAGCCCACAAATAATCATCCTTAGACAATGTCTAAAGATATAAAGAATGTCTAAAGACAATCTTTAGACAAATTGTCTCATCATTTTTAGACAATACTGAGGTGCAGGCCTTGTGTCTGTTGGTGGTGGGAAAGGGATGGTTGACTAGGGCCTTAAAGATAATAAAAATAATTAACGTGTGTTTGCAGCAGGGGTGGCTTCCTGCTGTGGTCACTCCAGTGTAGGGTGAAAGTGTTCCAGCCTGGATAGCTCTCCCATGTCATTGGCATTCCTGAAATTAGGAGACCGTTTTCATTGACTTCTAGTGTTTGCCATTCTGGTGGATTATCCTTCTTCTATACTGCTGGATCGGGTTTGTGGATTTGTCTAGCATCTGTGTAGAACAGGGGAGTGGGGACCCTAACCCTCAGTAATTATGGAAGTTCCTGACTGCTTCTCAGATGGGAACTCAAAGCCTTTATAGAACTGAGAATTAGAACGGGAAGCAAGAATGCTAGGAACTTGCTAACATTTTCTCTTCATTATTCCCTGGCGGTTTCCCCACGGTAGCTTTGTGTCATGTACGGGCACTTCCAGGAAGAGGGTGCAGGGGAACCATCTCAGTGTCTCCCCTTCCAAATCTTCTGGAGGGAGAGATGCTGGGGTGGGAGTGCTCCTCGGTGGAGTACTCAGGAGCTTAATAAAAGCCGAGGGAGCTGGAGAGCAAGGTCTGGCCTGCAGAGCTGGCACAGAGAAGCCTGGTGTGGGGCTGTCCAGCCTGCCAATATACAGTTAAGAAGAAAGGATATATGTATGTGTGTGTATATATGTATGTATAGTGTGTGTGTGTGTGTGTGTGAGAGACAGGGTCTCACTCTGTCACCCAGGCTGAAGTGCAGTGACATTGTCTTGGTTCACTGCAACCTCCACCTCCCGGGTTCAAGCAATTCTTGTGCCTCAGCCTCCCAAGTAGCTGGGATTACAGGTGCACACCACTACGCCCGGCTTATTTTTTGGTGTTTTTAGTAGAGACGGGGTTTCACCCTGTTGGCCAGGCTGGTCTCGAACTCCTGACCTCAAATGATCCACCTGCCTCTGCTTCCCAAAATGCTGGGATTACGGCCTGAGCCACTGCGCCTGGCAGAAAAAAGATTTTCACAAGAACTGGAAGGTTAACTCCCCTCCCAGACCCAAAGATGCAGATTCGGCCTGACCAGCAGGAATGCACATGTGCCTCGCTGTGAGGAGGGCAGAACTGAGGCTGCTTCTCAGGAAACTGTGAGGGTCTAGCGTGCCCCCCCCCCCACCACCCGCAGACACCAGGGCCCGATAGAATAGCCTCCCAGCATAGCCAATGGGACACCATGAATCATAGGCTTGTACTGTGGAAACTAGCAATTATGGTAATTACTTGCACTGCAAAGGGCTCTTTCTCTTACCAAAGGACATTTTCCTCCCCCAAGCTGCTTCTCCTCCCTTTTAAATAGCAGCTCCTCAGTGAATAAAGGCAGAAACATGTGGTTATAGGGAAGTACAAACGAAGATAACATCTCTCACATAATAGCAAACAATGATTTGAAAATATTGGTACTCCAGCTTTATTGTAAAGCAGTTTATGTGAGTGATAACTAGAAGATAAATATGGAAAAGTAACTGAAGGCTGCTGACACCTCTCTGAGCTTGCTTTGTGATATGTGGACAGCTAGAAAAAGCAGCTAATTGTTAGGTGGCTCCTGTAAACACTTCCTGATGGGGAGCCTGTGAGCAGAAAAGAGCGGGCGCAGGCCTGGACAGTGGTCATGCACTGTTAGCATGAAACCCGCTGAGCTGCAGACACCCCGGTCAGCTTGGAGGAGGGAAGGAGTCGCTGTCCTGGGCCACAGTCTAGGGGGTGGACCCTGGTGCCATCCCTTTTGTGAGACTCACGTTAGTTTCTACCAACAGCCAAATACCACAGATGCAAAGACTTGGGGGAGAAGCCCATGAACATTGTCTGAATGTATGGTAAAGAAAAAAAAGAAAAAATAATCTTTTGTGGAAATGTAGGCTTTATTGTTTTAATGGGAAATTTGGTGATTGTATACAGTTTTGTTTTTTTTGTTTTTGTTTTTGAGACGAAGTCTCTGTAACCTAGGCTGGAGTACGGTGGCGCCATCTTGGTTCACTGCAACCTCTGCTTCCCAGGTTCAAGCGATTCTCCTGCCTCAGCCTCCCAAGTAGCTGGGACTACAGTCACCTGCCACCACGCCCAGCTAATTGTTTTTGGTGGAGACGGGGTTTGGGGTTTTGCTGTGTTAGCCAGATGGTCTCAATCTCCTGACCTCTTGATCCGCCTGCCTTGGCCTCCCAAAGTGCTGGGATTACAGGCGTGAGCCACTGTGCCCAACCTGTATATAGTTTTTAGACTGATGGGTAAAATGTTGAAGGTCTGTATGGTCTATATTGCAATCCTGCCTTTACTATCTTTTTTTTTTTTTTTTTTTGAGACGGAGTCTCACTCTGTCGCCCAGGCTGGAGTACAGTGGCCGGATCTCAGTTCACTGCAAGCTCCGCCTCCCGGGTTTACGTCATTCTCCTGCCTCAGCCTCCCGAGTAGCTTGGACTACAGGTGCCTGCCACCTTGCCCGGCTAGGTTTTCTGTATTTTTAGTAGAGATGGGGTTTCACCGTGTTAGCCAGGATGGTCTCGATCTCCTGACCTCGTGATCCGCCCATCTCGGCCTCCCAAAGTGCTGGGATTACAGGCTTGAGCCACCGCGCCCAGCCCCTGCCTTTACTTTCTAAAAAGGATTCCTAAATTGATCCAGCATCAAATTAGTATATTTTAACCCTGACGATGAGCAGTATAGTTTCAGGTCTTGAATAGCGAGTTCTCCCACTGTAACTCCCTGACAGTTCTTCCTGCCCATTGCACAAACAAAATCAGTTCACGGAGACCATGGCATTGCAGTAAAGAAAGAGTTTAGGACTGGGCGCAGTGGCTCATGCCTGTAATCCCAGCACTTCGGGAGGCCAAGGCGGGCAGATCACCTGAGGTCAGGAGCTCAAGACTAGCCTGGTCAGCATGATGAAACCCCATCTCTACTAAAAATACAAAAATTAGCTGGGCCTGGTGGCGCGTGCCCAGAATCCCAGCTACTCAGGAGGCTGAGGCAAGAGAATCGCTTGAACCCTAGAGGTGGAGGTTGCAGTGAGCCAAGATCACACCACTGCACTCCAGCCTGGGCGACAGAGCTAGACTCCATCTCAAAAAAAAAAAAAAAAAAAAAAGAGTTTAATTGATGCGAGGCCGGCCATGCTACATGGAAGAGTTATTACTCCAATCAGTCTCTCCATGCATTTGGGGGCTAGAGTTTTTCTAAAATAGTTTGGAGTAAGGGGTGGCGGTGGCTGGGCAGTGGGTGCTTGCTGCCAATTGGTCAGGGCGCAGTCACAGGGGTGTGGGAATCATCCTCCTGCCTGCTGAGTGGCTTCTGGGCGGGTCCAGGAGGAGCCATCACGTTGGACTTGCAAAACACCTGAAAAGATACCTCAAAAGACCAATCTTAGGTTCTGCAATAGAGATGCAGGAGTAATTGGAGAAGTTGCAGGTCTTGTGACCTCTGGAATGACGGCTGGCACCTTAACCGAATTCAGACTCCTTACCTCTTCCTAGCCTGGTGGGGTCTCACATTAGCTTCAGAAAGCTTAGCAAAGGTGGTTGAGTTTCAGGAAAGGGCTGTTACTATTTAAACCAGAAAGTAGGCCCTGTGTGGTGGATCCCAGTTGTAATCCCACTACTTTGGGAGGATTGGGAGTGGCCGAGATCACGCGACTGCACTCCAGCCTGGCGACAGAGCAAGACTCGTCTCTAAATAAATAAATAAATCCAGATTGTGCATTTTATAATACTAGATGCTCGTTTTGTCATATGTTAATCCAATTTACTTCGTTAAAGGTGTCAAGATTCTGCCCTCCAAGAAAGTCTTGCCATGATTGGATAGGACCCCCAGACAAATATTCAAACCTTCGACCTGTTCACTTTTACATACCTGAAAATGAATCACCATCGGAACAAAAGCTTAGAAAATTAAGACAAGAAACACAAGAATGGAATCAACAGTTCTGGGCAAACCAGAATTTGACTTTTAGTAAGGTAAGTTTCAGTTTTAGATCAGAATGAGAAACAACACAGTTGGCCACTTGAGGGTGCTAGATATTTAGTATTTGCTTTGCGATTTGTCTCAGTCCCTCCCCCACACTGTATGTATGTGTGGATGTGTGTATATATACGCATATAATTTTAAAAACTAATATGTAACTGTATAGAAGAGACGATCGTTCGTAGAACCACAGATCTTGAGACTTTGAAGGAAGCAATGTATGAGCAGCAGAGCCAGAACTAGAAGTACGTGTTTTACACACATTTGTGTGTGTGTTTATCTTTATGAGAATACCGGATTTTTTTAGGTGGGGCATGGTGGCTCTGCAGTCCCAGCACTTTGGGAGGCTGAGATGGGCGGATCACTTGAAGCCAGGAGTTTGAGAGCAGCCTGGCCAACGTAGCGAAACCTAATCTCTACTAAAAATATAAAAATGAGCCAGGTGTGGTGGCACATGCCTGTGATCCCCGTGACTTGGGAGGCTGAGGCACAAGAATTGCTTGAACCTGGGAGGCGGAGGTTGCAATGAGCTGAGATCGCACCGTTGCACTCCAGTCTGGGTGACAGGAGTGAGACCCTAACTCAAACAAAAAGAAACCCAGTTTTTGTGATGTGTTGAATTCTTCCTGAGAATTCAAAAACATTTTTTTGTTGTTGGGGTTTTTTTTTTTTTTTTTTTTTTTGAGACGAAGTTTCACTCTGTCACCAGGCTGGAATGCAGTGATATGATCTCAGCTTACTGCACTATCTCCCAGATTCAGGCGATTCTCCTGTCTCAGCCTCCCAAATAGCTGGGATTACAGGCACACACCACCATGCCCAGCTAATTTTTGTATTTTTAGTGGAGACCGGGTTTCACCATGTTGGCCAGGATGATCTTGATCTCCTGACCTTGTGATCCACCCACCTCAGCCTCCAAAAGTGTTGGGATTACAGGCGTGAGCCACCGTGCCCAGCCGAAAATTTAAAATTCTTAACAAGATACTTATAAATAAACTGTGTAAGAAAAAAGCATAAAAAAAGCATAAATAGTCTAAACCAGAAGAAAAACATTTAAACTTTTTTTTTTTTTTTTCTGAGATGGAGTTTCACTCCTGTTGCCCAGGCTGGAGTGCAATGGTGTGATCTCGGCTCACCGCAACCTCCACCTCCCTGGTTCAAATGATTCTCCTGCCTCAGCTTTCCAAGTAGCTGGGATTACATGCACGCCACCACACCCGGCTAATTTTTGCATTTTTAGTAGAGATGGGGTTTCACCACGTTGGCCAGGCTGGTCTTGAACTCCTGACCTTCAAGTGATCCGCCTGCCTTGGCCTCTCAAAGTGTTGGGATTCCAGGCGTGAGCCACTGCGCCCGGCCACATTTAAACTTTGATTTGCCATTTGAGTGGGCTACGTCAGGTGGGATGTGTTTATCGTATTCTGTGGATTTTTTTTTTTTTTTTTTTGAGACAGAGTCTCACTCTGTTGTCCAGGCTGGAGTGCAGTGGCACGATATCGGCTCACTGCAACCTCTGCCTCCCGGGTTCAAGCAGTTCTCCTGCCTCAGCCACCTGAGTAGGTGGGATTACAGGTGCCCACCATCATACCTGGCTAATTTTTGTACTTTTAGTAGAGATGGGGTTTCTCCATGTTGGCCAGGCTCATCTGGAACTGCTGATCTCAGGTGATCCACCCACCTTGTCCTCCCAAAGTGCTGGCATTACAGGTGTGAGCCACTGCACCTGACCTATTCTGTGGATTTATAAACAGTGTCTCCCAAGTTTATTGAACATCTTTTCAAATCCTGTTACAAACACAAAACTTTTAACCACATTCAGAGGGTTTTAAATGAGCTTTGAGATGGGTCACCTGCTTCTCAGAAAGTCCACATCTGTGCTTCTCCAGGACACTGTGAGCTGTGCTCTTGCCAAAGAGTTCTGAGAGCCTTTTTTTTTTTTTTTTTAGGAAAAAGAAGAATTTATTCACTCGAGACTAAAAACTAAAGGCCTGGGCCTGAGAACTGAATCAGGTTAGTGCATTTGTTTGGGTTTTTTTTTTTTTTTTCTTTCTTTCTTTGGGTTTGAACAAGTCCATGAGAAGGTAAAGCAAGGGCAGTGAGAGAAGTGGGGAAATTCAGGGCAGTTCTTGGCCTGCTTTGGGGCAGTGCCTAGCACACCTCTGTCCAGGTTCTTTTGCACACCAGTTCCCAAGCATGGTTCTCCAATCTCTAGCTCCCTCTTCTCTCTCAGGAGTTTAGGTGGTTATAATGGATGACCACCTTCTGACCTTTGATTTCCGTCCTGAGGTCTCAGCCTTTGCAGCTTCTCCCTCTCCAAACCAGCTTCTGATCCTTGATCTCAGTTCAGTGCTCAAAATAGCCTTTCCTTATTTTCTCTTGGTGTTGATGTTAGGCCTGAGTGACATCTCATGCTGTTCGTTAAACAGATGTCTGCTCCCAAAATGTTGTTCTGATAGAAAATCCAAAATCATCAACCCCAAAAGCCAAGTCTGTCATTGGGCTAAAGTGCCATTCCTACTAATCCTTTACCTTGCCTGATTCATTTAGAGTAAAGGGCTGGGAGCTTGAGTCACTCCCGTGCCAGGACCTCTGTTGCTGTTTGCTGGCTGCTGGAGAGGTGGGGTGTTGCAGGCCCTGGAGAGGTGGGGCCTTGCAGGGCAGAGTTGGAGCAGATGCTGCATCCAACAATAAGCATGAGAATGAGCACTCACAGTTTCAGGTCCTGTGCTGGACACTGTGCAAGTCCTGTGCATATATCACCTGTTGCATTTCCCTCAGTGACCCAGTGAAGTAGATACTGTTATCTTTACCATTTTATAGAAGAGCAACCTGAGGCTTCCCCAAAATTACACAGTGAGAATGTGGTGTGGCCTGGATTCTCACCTCGGGAGTCGGATTGCAAAGCCTCCCTGGGCCTCACCGTGGTCCATGGCTGTCAACGAATTCCATGCTGACCTGGTGTGCGTGTGTGTGTGCGTGTGTGTGTGCATGTGCGCACCACAGGTCTGTCATCATAACAGGTAGGACTAGGTCGGCTCATACTTTGGAAGTGCTTTGGAGACAACCACTCTCCTGACAGATGGGAGTTGTTGTTTTGATTCTTACTAAGGTCCCAGAGTCCTGTTGATGGCTTTGCTGACTAGTGAAAGGCTGGCCTTAAATTAGGTTTGGAAATGAATTTGGTAATAGGACAGGATGTGTTAAGGAAGGGAAGCATGCAGGGAGCTGCCTGCTCTGGCAGCTGTTGAAAGCTAGCAGGCCGCAGTGCCTGCAGTGGGAGTGGGGCAGCAGGCGTGTCACCTTGGGCCAGAGCACGTCTCATACACGGTTGCACCGATGTGTGAGGACATAGGTCCCCAAGAGCCAAGAGAGCGGAACTTTGTTGAAAACATGGTGTTGGAGAAACCTTTGGCCCAGAAGAACAAATTTAGATTCGTTCTCCCCGCAATGCAAATATGTTCCAGTGGGTCAAAATGTTAATTATTATTAATTTTTTTTTTCTTTTTTTTGAGACAGGGTCTCACCCTGTCTCCCAGGCTGGAATGCAGTGGCACCATCTGGGCTCACTACAGCCTTGACCTCGTAGACTCAAGTGATCCTCCCACTTGAGCCTCCCAAGTACCTAGGACTACAGGTGCACGCCAGCACCACACCTGGCTAATTTTTGTGTTTTTTGTAGGGACAGAGTTTTGCCATTTTGCCCAGGCTGGTCTCAAACTCCTGAGCTCAAGTAGTCCACCCACCTCGGCCTCCCAAAGTGCTGGGATTACAAGCGTGAGCCACCATGCCCAGCCAAAAAGTTAATTATTAAAAGTCGGGCCAGGCGCAGTGGTTCACGCCTGTAATCCCAGCACTTGGGGAGGCCGAGGCGGGCGGATCACAAGGTCAGGAGTTCGAGACCAGCCTGATCAACATGGTGAAACCCCATCTACTAAAAATACAAAAGTTAGCCGGTTGTGGTGGCGGGTGCCTGTAATCCCAGCTACTCAAGAGACTGAGGCAGGAGAATCACTTGAACCCAGGAGGCAGAGGTTGTAGTGAGCCAAGATCGCGCCGCTGTACTCCAGCCTGGGTGACAGAGCGAGTCTCTATCTCAAAAAAATAAAAAAAATGTAAGTGGATTATTTATGGATTAAAGAGTTAGACACATAGTTCCTAGCTGTGGAGCATCTAAAAGGAGATAACAGACTCTCTATTATCTGGAGGAATGATACCCTCCTGAGCCTGAGGGTCAAGATAGAGATACTGAAGAACATAAAAGCTGAAAACATCTGTGTTAAGACTCCTTTTGATCCACCTTTCTGGACAGGAGAGTTTGCTGAGCAGATGTAGGGGTGGCTCAGTACCCAGGGGAGGGTGGAGCTGGCCCCAGTCATGGCCTGTGCTCAGACGCTAAGACCAGAGCAATTTCTTCCTCGTATTTAAACTTTTCTCCTAGGCCACTGCTTTACCTTTCTCATGCTATAAACTGGCTTTCTCTGCCTCCTTGTTTATCCCTCCTAAGTTCAAGGAAGCAGTCAGCTGAGGAGGCTGCCTTTCCCCAGGCTGGCACCAGCCCAGCTGGGAGGTGCCGGATTAGCTGAGGCGGAGGTGGGGCTTGTGCAGAGAGCCTGGCTGCTGCCATGGAGATGGGAGGAAGCAGGCAAAAGAGCAGGCCTGCTGGCAAAGGATCAGAGGGCTGGGCAGACACAGGGATCAGTGTCCCGGAAATGTGAGGAAGGGCAAGTGCTGGCAGCAAAGACGACGTGGGCAATTTGGACTTCAGGAAAACCTGCCACAAATTTGCAGAAATAACACACATTTATAGACAAGTAACGTGACTACAAGAAGAAAAAATTGCTCAAACTCTAAATTTTACAAGGCATATTTGTTTATTTTTTTGAGATGGAGTCTCGCTCTGTCACCAGGCTGGAGTGCAGTGGCATGATCTCGGCTCACTGCAGTCTCCACCTCCCGGGTTTCAGTGATTCTCCTGCCTCAGCCTCCCAAGTAGCTGGGATTACAGGCATCCACCACCACACCTGGCTAATTTTTTCATGTGTGTGTTTTGTAGAGACGGGGTTTCACGATGTTGACCAGGCTGGACTCGAACTCCTGACCTCAAGTGATCCACTCATCTCAGCCTCCCAAAGTGGTGGGATTATAGGCATGAGCCATCGCGCCCAGCCTACAGTGCATATTCAACAAGAAGTCATCATTTCATGCTTACTCAATTCATGGGGGAATGTTTTCAGTCTTGAGACTCAGTGCTGGTGGAGTTACATCAAAGGTGGATGGCAGTAGCAAATCCTCAGTCCCTTTTCCAGAAGGATTTAGCTAAACATACTACACATGTCCCAGGAAGCAGGAAAATGATGCTCATGAATCTTCTGTAAGAATTCATGTGGAGAGCCAGGCTTGGTAACTCACACCTGTAATCTCACCACTTTGGGAGGCTGAGGTGGGTGGATCACTTGAGCCTAAGAGTTTGAGACCAGCCTGGGCAACATGGTGAAACCCTGTGTCTACAAAAAATTTAAAAATAAAAATAATTAAAGCCAGGCGCAGTGGCTCACGCCTGTAATCCCAGCACTTTGGGAGGCCGAGGTGGGTGGATCGCCTGAGGTCGGGAGTTAGAGAACAGCCTGACTAACATGAAGAAATCCCCTCTCTACTGAAAATATAAAATTAGGCCGGGCGCCGTGGCTCATGTCTGTAATTCCAGCGCTTTGGGAGGCCAAGGTGGGTGGATCACGAGGTCAGGAGTTCGAGACCAGCCTGATCAGCATGGTGAAACCCCATCTCTACTAAAAATACAAAAAATTAGCCAGGCACGGTGGTGGGCGCCTGTAGTCCCAGCTACTCGGGAGGCTGAGGCAGGAGGAGATGGCGTGAACCCGGGAGGCGGGCTTGCAGGGAGCTGAGGTCACACCCACTGCACTCCAGCCTGGGCTACAGGTGAGACTCCGTCTCAAAAAAAAAAAAAAAAAAAAAAAGAAGGAAAATTAGCAGGCGTGGTGGTGCATGCCTGTAATCCCAACTACTCAGGAGGCTGAGGCAGAAGAATCACTTGAACCCTGGAGGCGGAGGTTGTAGTGAGCCGAGATCGCACCATTGCACGCCAGAAGAATCACTTGAACCCTGGAGGCGGAGGTTGTAGTGAGCCGAGATCGCACCATTGCACGCCAGCCTGGGCAACAAGAGTGAAACTCCATCTCAAAAAAAAAAATAAAAATAAAAAACAGCCAAGTTTGCAAGTTTGGCAGTATGTGTCTGTAGTCCCAGCTACTCGGAAAGCTGAGGTGGGAGGATTGCTTGAGCCCAGGAGGTGGAGGCTGCAGTGAGCCAAGATTGTGTCACTGCACTCCAGCCTGAGTGGCAGAGCCAGACCGTCTCCAACAGCAACAACAAAAATTCATGTGGGGAAACATGGGAAGAGTTCAGCTGTGTGTTCTTTGCAGCAGGATCTTTCATTGCAGAAGAATGGGAAGAATGGAAACGTCCAGTACTAGCAGAACGGATAAGGCTGTGGTGGCCTACCCACTCACTGGCCTTCACTGGAATATTCTGCAGCAGTGCAGAAAAACGAGTGATTGAATTTAAAGTGCAAGCAACAGAATACTGTGATTTCAGTTCTGCCAGTCTCAAAATTAAATCTCATTTGTAAGGCAGGCAGTATTGTGGGAGAGTTTCTCTAATGTATTTAATTCTCAGAGTGTTTATGCAGTGGCAGGAAGTGTACCATCAAAATGGGTTTAGTTTAAGTCAGTCTCCTGAGTATTTATGAAACACCCACTCAGTTTTCGGTACGTGTGGTGAATTTGGTGTTCTGCCTTTTTCCCTGGACTTAGTGGTATGTTTGGTAACAAGCTGCAGTGCTGCAGCGTGGACCATGCCCTGCTTAGCAGACATTATGGTGCTTCTGCTGCCTGCTGAGCCTTGGCCTAGGGGTGTTTGAGCCAAGTGCAGGGAACCTGTGTCAATGGAGTCAGGTGGCAGCAGCTGGTACCCCTGCCTGCGGGGTAGTCCCG